TCCTTTTTGCCTCAGCCGGTAGGTCTCTAGACATTAGAGAGAATCCCGAACAACCCAATCTGCTAATCTCTAATACCGCTTTGTACTTACGATCTTATATCCACTGACTGTCTTGTTAGATTAACTCAATAAATTTCATTCACTCCGCATACTCAATCCTATAAACACCCTTTTAATTCTTCAATCACAGACATAACTCGATTTCATAAAACAGTCAAGAGTAATCAAACCCAGTTCATTAAAAAACCCCGATTCACCATTACAACACTGACTTCAGCAACGATTGCCTCCGTCTTCCCAAAATCCTATGAAGAAAAAAAAAATCCAATTCTCTGTCTTCTTTCCCCGCTTGAAGCATGAAGCTCCTCTCCCCCTGATCTTCAAAAACCTCCCCAAAAACTTCTTCCCCCCCTAACCTTATCCTCTGAATTTCTCCAATCTTCCGTCTTGGATCCGAAATTGGCTCCCACCGTTACAGCTTAGATCCGAAATTGGCTCCCGCCGTCAGAGCTTTCTCCTCCGTTTTTACCTTTAAGAGATCCATTTACCGAAAACAACGTTCTTTGAAATGGCACAGAGAATAGGACAGCGTGAAACAGAATCGAAACCCCGTATTCGGGTCCACATTGAGTCGCCCGACCAATTCAGGTCTCATATTGAGTAAGATGCCCGTAGTAACCTGGATGTTCCCGTAATTGGATCAAATTGGTCTTTCGTGTCAGAGTGGCTGAGGCCCGTAGTAAGACCTGGATTTTCCCGTAATTAGACTACATTGGGTTGCCGACCAATGCAGGTCTAATATTGGTTAAGAGGACCCGGATTGGATTCTTGAAATTGGATCCAATTGGCTCTTCGAACCAAGCTCACCCATCGTGTGAATTGATCCTTTCTCTTCCTACTGAGTCCCGTTATTGGAATCGAATGGAGCATTTCAGTATGCCCCGGTTGACTGTAACAGGGTGACTGAACCTGGCCACTCAGTATTTATACTGGAGTTGGTCGTTGCTCCCAATATTCGAGGTAACTGAACATTAATAAAAGTCCCCTTTCTTTATATTTTCACGGTATACTCGTGTTACAACATGATACCGTTGGAGTATGTCTTTATCAAGATTCGAATTCAAGATCACTTATCGACTAGAAAAACAACAAGGTTTGTTAGATGAACTCTCTAGATGATCTTTTCTTACACCAAAGGAAGGAGATGCTGCTTTTGATCAACAACGAACAATTCTCTTGAAGCTAGAACATCTTCATTTTTGAGCAATGAAATCAATACTAATTGTTGATTCAACTTTCATTAAGCAAGTTTACTTAAGTATGTCTTCTGATTGTCTTATTTGTGATATGAAGAGAAATCCTTCAAAGTTTTATGATACTTCCAAGTTTGAATTCAAGAAGAAATTACTATATTTTGAGGGACTGTAGAATAGGCAAATAAACTTTGTGGTAAGTTACTGATTGGTTATTGATAACCTTGAAATTTAGACTGATGATTAGGCAGTTTAGTTAGTAACAGTAGGTTGTTAGTGGAATAAATGGTTAAGAATTCAAAGGGTCATAACCTTTGAAATCTGCTAGCCGACGGTCCATCTTTTTTTGGTGTAATAAAGAGCTTGAGGAAAGAGAGATCGGGGCCAGACTGTGATAGTCGTAAGTCAGGGCAAGTTTGGTGCTACTTCTTTTTGTTTCTTTATTGTTGACGAGTAATGGATAGTTTCTTAATACTGAGAAGTTAGTCTGGAGTGCTAGACTGTAATAGTCGTAAGGCGGGGCAAGCTTGGTGCTATCTCTTTTTGTTTCTTTGTTATTGACGAGTAATGGATAGTTTCTAAATACTAAGAAGTTAGTCTGGAGTGCTAGACTGTGAGAGTCGTAAGCCGAGATATTGAATTTTGTGTAATGAATTGAGAAACTGAATACAATAGGTAAGTTAGAAATCAGTAATTGAATATATATAAACTACAAAGAGAGTAAGTGGAAGATGAATGGATAAGAATATAGAAAAATTATTGAATTGATAGTTGTAGAATGGATTATGGATTGAATTAAGACAGAAGTAGTAAGCCTTGGTGTTTTGTAGTTTGATAATTGATTTCAGATAGCTCGAGTACAATCAATTGTGACACTAACAGACCTAATTCATATAACAAGTCTTTCCCCGTATTCGAACCCACCTCTATTAGTTCAATTGCTTTGATATATTGAAGCTTGAGCACAACGAGAATAACTGGGACACCTATATGTTCTAGAAGGTGAAGTTCGATTATATGTTTTTCAAGCTTGTCATGACTTTCCAGCAATAAGACATTTTGGGTACAATAAAACTTTGGAATTAATATCCAAGGACTTTTGGTGGCCACAAATGTGGAAAGCAGTCAAAGATTTTGTACAATCTTGTGATGTTTGGTCGAGATCAAAAACTCCTCATCATCGACCTTACAAACTTCTTCACACATTACCCATTCCAAAACAACCATGATCTTCTATTTCTATGGATTTCATCACGAATCTTCCAATCTGAGGTTCTTATGACTTTATATTCGTGATAGTAGATCATTTTACCAAGATGGCACATTTTGTACCATGTACAAAATCTATCACAGGTGAAGAAACAGCTACGCTCTTTCTAGACAATATCTATCGCTATCATGGATTATCGAAGTATATTATATCAGATAAAAGAACTCAATTTGTATCAAGATTTTTGCGGACTCTTTTCAAGATTCTAAAAGTGGATATAAAAATATCTTCGGCATTCCACCCTCAAATAAATGGACAAACAAAGCGTGTTAATCAAGTTTTGGAGCAGTATTTAAGATATATCATTAACTACCAACAAGATGATTGGACAATTCTTTTGCCATTGGCAGAGTTTGCTTACAATAACACGATACATTCTTCTACAAAATAAACACCTTTCTTTGTCAATTATGGTTATCATCCACAACTTGATACTTTTGACTTTTCAAAAGTTGATAATCCTGATGTGAAAGATTTGACAATTCATTTGTCAGAGCTACATGCAATGATGACATAGAACCACCATTCCACATGGGTGATAAGATATAGTTACTTCGTTGCAATATCAAGACTACTCGTCTTTGTGACAAGTTGGACTATCGAAAGCTTGGACCATTTTCTATTTCTACACAAATCAATCGAGTTGCATACCGTTTATACCTAACGGAGTCAATGAAAATCCATCCAATATTCCACATGTCTCTTCTTAAACCATATAAGACAGTGGATATATCAAGAAGAAGACAAGCTCCACCTCCTCCTATAGAAGTGGAAAATAATGAAGAGTTTGAAGTGAAAGAAGTCGTAGATTCAAGGCGGTGCCGAAATAAATTAGAATTTCTTATCCATTGGCACGGATATGATATTAATGAATGCACATGGAAACTAGTAAAGAATCTTGCAAATGGAGCAAAGGCGGTGGAGGCTTTTCATTGATAACATCCATCAAAATCAAGATGAAAACCTTCTTTATAAAAGAAACAAGATCTAGGCAAGATAACATTCTACTTTCAATCCTTGTTTGTAGCTTCTTTGTAGTTGTGATGCTCAGGAGATGGAAAACCAACAACCAGCGGATTTGACTCAAGAGCCTTCTTTTGCTAACTTGCTAGACGAGACATTACGATTGTCACAACCTTCAAGATGATGCAATCGAGATGAAGATCTTCAAGAACGACATGTTCTTCCTCAAATAGGTGGCAAGATACAATGCGTTTGGTTTCACGACCTTGGAAGGAACTCCCAATGTTTAGTGATTTTACTAGAGGTAGGAACAATTCCTGATGGTGTTCCAAATATTTTATTTGAAGGAAGTTATAAAGGGCTCAACAATGATCAAATAACTGGGTCGTCTTCCTGCCTTGGTATGGGATACTATCGATGTTTGAGAGGCCCTATCAATCATCTTTGAAGAGAACAAAGATCAGATTATGTGGCGAATACAATTCGTCGCATCATAGATTTCCTCAACATATGATTACCACTTCTTGTGGAACTCGTTCCTAGAAGGGGGGGATAATGTCCTGGACATACGCATATACGCCAATAATTACATGTATAAATAGGTAGAAGTAAGTAAAAGTAAATAAAAGTAAGTTAATTCTATAGTATTTGTTATAGAAGCTTCCTAGAAGCTTTATAGATGGTGCTTTGACTTTATAGGTATCTTTTATTGACTTTTTGGGATTAGAAATGTGGTCAAAAAGTTGGCCATGGGCCACACATGTTGTTAGCTTGAAGACCAAACTACCTATGTCGCTCACATGTAGAAAAACTTACCTTGTAAGTCAAGGAATGTGTCCTACAAAGTGAACACATATTGGAGGCCCTATAGAACGTCACCACATAGCCTCTAGTTAGATAGTATATAGAGAGACAAGAGTGAAGCCTTCTTCACTCTTGTCAACTCTTTTCTTGCTTCCAGTCTAGCTTCAAGGGTCTCTAGTTTTCTTGGCTTTTGGCAATAGCCATTCCAGTTTCTTTCTTAATATACATATGAAGTTATTTCTATTTTGTCATCTTTCTTTGAAAGAAGTCTCACTTGTTTATTTATCTTTATCATGTTTTTGTCTTTGATAGGTTGTCGAGTAGTGAGATAATATAGCATGATCTTGAATGTGGTGCTGAAGACAACCGCAAGTATATCTAGTAGGGAGGTGAAAGCAAGCAATGCAGCGGATATTGAAGTTCCAACTGTGACAACAAAGGATGTGGTTGTGACAATATCTATAAGACCATGGAAATAGATGATTGCAGGGAGCACAAAAAAGACATTGATTTAATTTTTAGGTACATGAAATGACTATCGGCTTTTATTGGCATGTTTGCAATGGCAATGGACGGGCAAGGCATGGAGGAGAACAGAGAGAAGAGGGTGGCAGTAGGACAATATTGTTGTAGAATGTCCCATCTAATGTGCCAAAGGAGGGGGAAAAGAAATGAAGTATAAGAAGGACGCATTGAAGGAGTGCACATATATCTTCATTGGCCTTATGGCTAGAATCAAGTGTAGTATTTGTTTTTTTGAGTTTAATATTTGGTACAAGGCTCATCAAGTCTCATAATATTCATCTATTTATTTTTTGGATGCGGACTAAGCCACTAGCTCATTGCTCATATCACTGCATGTTGCCGTAGTATTGCACTACCTCCTTGACATTTGCAACCTTCAACCTCAACCTCCAAAGGAACTCCAATGTAATATAGAAACTGTAAGTAATGAGCTAGTATGTGGAATAGGTCCAGGTCAGAAGACATCTGTGATGTAAAAAGTATTGTAGTCCTTAACATACATAACAAGCATTTAATTGGCACTTTGTGAAGTTTTGAAATAAAATTTGAAAGAAGTATTAAGATAAATTAAAAAATAAAAACAAAAACCTCAATTCAAACAAAAAAAACTTGAAAGCGAGTTGATGAGAGGTTCTAAAGTAATTGCCTAGTCTTGTGGATGAATGGTTTGTGAAATCAAAGAGAGTAATTAAAACTTTTATGATATCATTAAAAATAATGTTTTTTCAAATGTGATTGTTGGTCAGATATACATGATATCTAGCTAAAGTTGTTGTATGTGTTGCAATATATGTCATTTTTCATAAACACCACAACTTTGAATGTCAACAATCCAAAACATATTTTGTATATTATAGTCACTACAAAGATTTTGGTAGTCCTATTTAAACCATTTTAGACATATATAATGGAAAAGTAGAATATTTGTTTTATTCCAAATAAATCCATAAATGGAATTAAGCATATTTTACAACTGTATAGTATTTTATTACATTTGTTGATTTGTTGGTTATATTTGTGTATGTTTTGTGAGATTTCTTGGGTTTTATCATTGGGTGAAGATGATAAATAAATAGACGGATCAAACAATTTTCATTTCATAGCTTACCTTTTTGATTGACATTCAACAAAGTATTTGGAAAAACAGTGACGTCCCTTGAGAACGCACATGTCCATACATGTTTGTATTTTTGGCGTGAGCATGGGACCAAGCGGCATTCATTTGCCCAGCTGTCGGACATGTCTCTGCTGCTTAATGTTTCATTCTGCAAAACCCAAAATCCAAATTGCAGCAGAGCTGCTTGCATACACACCCTCGTTACCTCACGAAAGAAATTTCAATCTTTGTAAACAACCCTACCACTGTTCACTTGTCACCACCATTTGTTCGCGATGGTTGATTCATCCACTTCCAACTACGCTAATTGAACGCCATCGCTTTTAGATGATTGAATTATCACTTTCCCCTTATTCGCTTATGATCCACATATCGATCACGCGCACGCGACTATTCTTGGCTTGCATACATGAAAGTACGCATATATCTAACTGACCAGATTCATGTGTGTTTGTGCATGTATGCCGGGAAGCTCGATTGGTAAATATACAACAGCCACCAAACACCATGCTGCGATGTACGCCACAGTTATCGACCTCACCCACCTGACGACAATTTAGTCCGAGGAATCGTGTCGATGCTCGGAGACATTCAAACCAAAGCTGTTTTGCAAACACAACCTCGATCAGACGTGGGGACTAGTAGGTGCACACAGACAGGCACATGGAAAGTTTCATCGACACGTTTCATTGGAGTGAAATCTTTCACACATCCATTTCGATAGACTGGAACACACACACACACTGCGGATCAGCACAGCCTCTGCCCCCCTCTCTCTGCGCAAGGTCTTCAAGTCTTAATCATTGTCTGTTCTATATTGACGCACTATTTCGTGAAGGCACCTGCCGTGATCGAAAGCTGCGTGAGTGATGTCCACTTCGAGCTGATGCTGGCGCGACTGGATCACAGGCACCAAGCTTTGGGCCTTTCACGGGCAGAAGTCGACCTCGTAGTTGCTGCCAACATTGCAGCCATACATCACACCTGGGTTGGCGTTTCTGTCGTCCAAGGTATAAGAGTAGGAAGAGGGGCATGCTCTCTTGAATGCCTTTGACGGAGTGGGACGAGGCGTCGTGGGCCCGACCACGTTGATGCACCCCTTTCCTGGTGGGCCGGTGTGTCTGTTCGGTGGCTTGCAGAAGGAATCCAGGAAGGGGATGTAGAACCTAGGACTGCCCCAGTGTAGTCCTCGTCGAACTCCTCCGTTAGTGAAGGTTGGGTTGATCATCAAAGGGAGGTTATAAGCATTCTGCTCACGCCGATTCCGAAGAACGATGTGAGTGATAGAACTCGACGCTACCAACGCTACTGAGTCACCGAAGTCATTAGAACAGAACAGGCACATCCATCACGTAATCAGTGTGAGCCACTGTGAAGTTGGTGACTCTGCTATCAGCAGCTTGCAAATGCCTCTCACCACATTGCTGAGATCGTACTTGTCCATGTTGTTCAATCCGAGCGTGAACTCGGCCAAGTTTGCTTGTGGCTTGGCTTGTATCCCTTGTTGAACATTTGCGTTGTTGCCGCGGAACCCCGAAATGATAGCCGACTCCCAGACCCTACCTACATTCATCGACCGTGCACCAGTCCTAGGGCTCAGAGCAAAGCAGGTTGCAGGCCTTCTCAAGGACTCTTGACAAACCGAAATCCAAATTGGACATTGGTTTCGGACGGTAATTATCGCGGCTGCGAATTCCAAACATGACCAATCGCAATTTCAGCATTATCGCCATTAGTAACTACAAAAATCCAAGGTTGCTCGCACAAAGCCACTGCAACGAAACCAGCGAACATAGAGAGAAGCACTACGCCGGAACGAACCAAGAGAGGAACTGGTCATCGCCAGCAGCAAGAGCACCACGGCAGTCAGTGCCACAGGGGCAGCTGATGGCTTGGCCATCTTCTCCCAGGAAATGGAGCTTCGCAATGGACCACGAGATACTGTTGCAGTACTCGACTTCGGCAATGCAACTCAAGGCCGATGCGAATGGAACTGATGAACACTTTTGATGCAAAGCCTGCGTTTATACTTGGCGCAGGATATCGTCCTAGCAGAGGCCCTCTCACTTATCGCAATCCAGATGAATTCATCCATGATCGTCCTGGTTCTTTTTGAGAACTCCTTCTTCCCGAATCTCGCGTGCGACGGTCACTGAAATTATCGGCAGCAAGAACTTCGCCGACAATCCAGAATATGTGAGATATCGAGTAACTGCGTACCCAATATTAGAAGAATCCCCGAATTTGCAGTCAATTTAACAATTGACTGTTTGAATGCTGAATTCAACCCGCACCAGCACAAAAGCCAAAAACACCAGGTCAGCCGTGACAATCGAGTAGAGTTCCAGGGATTTTTGCAAGCTGTTTAATCATACTGTTTGTCTGATGTTGAAGTGTGCTGTTCATGCTGGGTCGGATGTGTGTAGATCTACGTGTTAAGATGAGCGGTGCAGTAGAGGTAATCGTCCCTATTCTATCATTGCGTCCTAATCCGATTAATGGGTACTGGGAACGCGTTGACCTGCTGGTGCGTGTGAATTTGATTGATCTTCATCACGTTTCATCCAATCTGCTTTCGGGATCATTTTTGTCTTTTTTCATGATTCTCAAATGTTTAACCGCTTTCCTAGAAATTGTATATGCACATTGCATTAAAGCAATGTACATTCAAGCAAGATTTGTTTGGCCGCAGGGTGACATAGTAATTTGGTTTTTACTCGTGGATTGTGGATATTGGAAAGGATATTTGTAAGAGCCTAATTAAGCCGCAGCCTGTCATAGAGTCTTGAGCTCTTATGTTTTGTGTACTTTTAGTGGATTGGGCAGTAGCATTCTAAGCAAGGATGACCCTGTGTTTGGATCCATCAACACTTCTCCATCTCGTTATACGTGTCCTGATGCCACTCTCCAAATAGTTAAAACTAAATTGTTAGGTGAAAGCCCAGAATCCTCAACTCACTCAAGATTTTATCAAGAGAATTCTTGTTTAATATTTAAATAACACAAGTCTTTGTTCTTGGAATTCAACTATTAGAGTGGAAAACCTTATAAATCTTATAAACAAAATTGAAAGATTTTGTAAAAAGGAGGCTTTTTTATAAGTGCAATTGTATTTTAATTTTTTTTTTAATAATAAATATGAGTTTACTATGAGTATGAATTAAAATATGACCAAAGCTACATTTATTTATGTTAAGACTTCTATCAATTCCAAGTCTCTATATTGGGATGTATTTTTTGTTGACTTCTCCATTTATTTTAATCATATGCTTAATATGTTTTTCTTTTTTTTCTTTTTTGTAATTTTTAGCTAATTATATTGGTGTTACTTTGTTGAAGTGTTATTTTGCACTTAAAGTATTTGGTGTTCTTCTCACTTATATATTATCAAAATCTAATATAGTCCATGAAGTCGTTTTTAAATACATAGGTCAACAAAAAAAAAATTCAAAATTTTAAAAATATTTTTTATTTTTTATTTTTAAATTTATATACTTATATTTATAAATTAATAAATAAATATATACATAAATAATTTTTTCTTTACTTTTAATTCTTATTATTTATTTATTTTGATTGATATTATATAATTATTTATATAAAGATATTATGTAATGATTTTATTGCTTATTTCTATTTCTTCTATGGATTGAACTTATTATTCATTTTTGTTTAGATATAATCATATTAATTTATCAACACAAATTTGAATTACTATTTAATATTTTAAAAAATAAAATAAATTGAATAGTTAGTAGAAACTAACAAATAACTTTGAAAGAAATGGACGTGGTATTGAGACACAATACGGATCTAAAGTAGGGCTCTACATTCATGTGTAGTGCAATCATGAGATTTTGTAAATTATACATTACATCTAAAATGTTACTATTTACATCTAATTATTTCAATAAAGTATTGTCATACTTTGTCACTCTTGATTAATATATTTTTCACATAATCAAAAGCTTTGAGTGGTAGACTTGTATTCAGATGAAAAGTTCTTCTATTAGGCATGAAAGGCAAATTGATATAATTGAAATAGAAGACCTAGTAAGAAAATACTAAGATTAAATTCATATTAATAATCTAAGAGAAAGACGACTTAGTGCAACAAGATAAATAATGCAAGAAAAGAATTGTAGGTGGGCTTTATTTCTAAATACAAGTGAATTTACAAAAATAAATGAATTTATAATAATACACAATATTTGGATAAGTCAGACAAATTAAGAATCACCACCAATAATAAGAAACAAAAGTCCTCAAAGGACATGAAGATGTGAAGATAGTATTATCATAGTAACACAATAGGAGCTACAAAGAAGTAACAATGTCAATAACACAAACAAGCAAGTAAATATCAAAAACAATTTAAAAGGAGAAAGACAATCACCACGCTTATTAAGATAAGTAAAAAAGATGGATTAGATAGCAAAAATGGGATCTATTGTAACAAGTATTGGAGGAAATACTAAAGACCTCTTGATACAAATCCAACTTGAAAGAATAGAAGAACAATTGATCCCTCCAACAAAAGATGAAATCAACATGAAATTGATTTGAATACAAGAAATGAATCTTATTAAATAGAACTTGTATTAAGCAATCTAAATCCTAGAAACTTTACAACATTTGGCATGATGCGGTTTGTAGTAGAGACTCATTCAAAACAATTGATGTACTTAAAAGGGACAATTAGTAGAATCTCAATTGTTGAATAGATATCAAAATTTTCAATATGTATGTGTCAGATATATATGTATATATATATATATATATATATATATATATTTACTCTAATGATTACGTATATTATTAGATAGAAGTAGATAAAAATAGATTAGTTTTATAATATCTTTTAGAAAAGCTACATAGAATCTTTATAGACGTGGCTGTGATTTTACATGTATTTGTAGATTAGAAACTTAGTCAAGAAATTAGCCATATATCACATTTATTGGCAACTTGTGGAAGAAACTAATTATATAGTACATATATAAAAAAAATTATCTGAGAAGTTAACACATGTATCTTGTAATTTGGATAGATGTTGGAGGTCCTATAAAACGTTGACATATAGCTCATAATTAGATATTATATATAGACACAAGCATAAAGCCTTTTTCACTCTTATCAATGTCTTTTTTGTTTTTAGTTTAGTTTCAAGAGTCTATACTCTTGTTGTCTTTGATAATAGCCATTATAGTTTAATGTTATACCATCTTTAAGTATTTTTAAGTCTTTTTGAGTGACACAAAGGTGTTAGGGATCATATACAAGACAAGGATTTAAGATTAAGAAATAAAGTTAGCTTGACAATAGAACAATAACTGGATATAAGACAAGAAGGTCTTAACTAGACCATAAGAAGTGAGTTGTTGAGACTGAGGATTCTCTCAACCTCAACTCCTATATATACTAGGTTCTAGGAAGATTTTTGAAAAGTTTCCATAAGGCTTGGGAACAAAGCAAGCCTAAGATCTTTCTTTGGTAATTTCCAAAATCATTTAAAGCCTCTTAGAATCTTCCAAGATCTCGTATGAACTTTTAGAACTTTCTTAGAATCTATTAGAATCTTTTGGAACCTTCTTAGAACCTATTAGAACCTTTTGAAACCTTCTAAGATCTATAAGAACCTTCTTGAAACCTTCTTGAACCTCCTTGAACCTTCTTGAATCTTCTTCAGTTGTATATTTGTGACAAAAGGTATATTGATCTTTTAATTCTTTAAGATTCATGTCCTTGATATTATGCCTTGCATATCATGCAAAAGCCAATATGCATCATAATGAAATCAATATACATCATAAATTTGACATACTTGTCAAATATAGAGGTAGAATAATATGTATGAGCAATATGGAGAATAAATCAATCTCTCATGTTCTTTAATAAGCTTTGAAAATGTGCCAGATTTTTTTATGCCTTCAGTATGCGACATGCAATAAGAAAAAAATAGAAACAAAGGTATTTTGCATAAACAACTAGCCAATGTTGTTGCTGACCTACAAGACAATTCCAATAATACAATATACCAAGCAAAATTTGTATACCATGTGGATCTAGTTTAGTAAGTTGCTAAATAAAAATTATAAGTTAAAATATCCAAGATAGAATGAAAAAAAAAAAAATTTCATCAATGTACATAGAAATTATTTTGGACTTATAAGGAAAGGTTGGCACCCTCAAGTATGACGGAACTAGTAGGTAAAAGTAGACAATGCCACAGTCATTCAAAGGTGTTAGCTTACATATACCAATAATTTTATAGCAAGCTTTATGAAGCTTTTTTAACCACAATTATAGCAAAAAAAAATTAAAATTCAAGCTTTACTAGGTGTTTGATATATATTAAATATAGATAAAAAAAAATAAGATAAAGTAAGCTCTTTTTTCTAGCCAAATTCATAATTATAAAGGATATGAGTAGAAAGAAATCACCGGGTCTACATGTTACAAATACACTATACATGAGATCAAAGAAGAAGTTGAATGAAAGAATTTTAATAAAAAAGCTAACAAAAACTTGATTAAACTAGATGAGTACAAGATCAATATTAAGAAAGATGGACTAGAGCTACAAAAGATGTATTGTTGAGATTGGAAAACTCCTCAATATTGACTCTAATATATATTAGATATTAGAAAGCTTCTCAAGAAGTCTTTATGTTGCTTGAAGATGAAGCAATCCTATGAAGCTTCTTAAATAACTTCCTTAATCTTCTTCAAATTTTTAAAAATTTACTAAAATATTTTAAAAACTACTTAAAATCTTTTAAAATATTCTAAAAATATTTTTAGAATCTTATAGAAGCTAATAGGATATTCTATTAGATATCCATAATATTAGATGGAATAATCTTAGAATTCTATAAAAAAAAAATTGTGACATCTTAGAATCAAAATTCTTAACTATGTTGCAAGAAAGTATACCAAAGAGACGATTTTCTCTAAGAGTGACCAAAGATTCATTGCATTGTTACATAAAAGATGCATAAGACATGATCTATTAAATTGAAGATTTATAATTTTATTCAATATAGATTACAAAATTTATACAAAAGCTATACAACTTTGATTCTAACCTATTCTTATAAATATTATAAGTATAATTCAATCAATATTTTTATCTAATAGATACATATTTGATAATTTATTATTGATATATCATTTATATACTTGAAATCTTTTATTCAAGATCAAACTTGATTATAAATTGGAATAAATCAAGTAGACATTAAAAAAATAACATTACTTCCATTTAACTATAATGGACTAGTAAATTGGATATTCCATGGTTAGAAGAAGATGAAGTAAGAAAGCTACTAAAAACATCATTTGGGCTATTATTAAATTTAATAAATTTTGATATCTTTTTACAACAAAAAATCAACAAAAAATTAAACTATTGATATTCAACAATAATTAATACCACTAGTAGGGAAGTAATTGTCAACAATGTTCTACTTTATTTTTCTATAGAATGGCACAAAAAATGATATAACAAAGATAAAAACTTCTCTAAGGAATTACATAGCCATAAGAATGATACTAAAGGCTCAAACTAAAGTCACATGGTTACAACGTTATTAACAATTAAACAAAAGAAGTATTAACTTAATCAATCCAATTGATGCCATAATAGTCTTATTAATTGAATGGATCATGAAAGCTTTAGAACTATCAGACTCTAGTTTACATATGATATTGTGATTCTATCTTAATCAATTGCAATCTTATACAAGAAGAAGATTGGAGCCAAGCTATAAATATTTTACTAAAAAAAACATCAAAGCTAGAAAGAATCAATGGTATGGAATTGTCAAAGATATGAAAAAAGATACATAAACTTATGAAACTGCGTCAAAAGAGAAGTGACAAAATAAAAATATAGAAGTATGTATATTAAAAAGAAATTAGAATAGTTATTGCCAAAAGACAAGGAAATTAGAGATGCTTGAATCTAGAGTAGAAGCAAGAAAGGAATTGATAAGAGTGAAGAAGGCTTTACTATTACCTCTACATATACTATCCATATATGATTTATGTAGCAACGTTCTATAAGACCTCCAAAAATGTGTTGACTTTCTATGACATATATCTTGACTTGCAAGGCAAGTTTTCTATATGGATGCTACATAATTAACTTGTTCTACAAGCTACTAACATATGTGGTACATGGATAACTTGTTAACTAAGTTTCTAATCTACCAATCAACTACAAACATATGCAAAGTCAAAATAGGTATTATGAAATTAATCTATTTTTACTTAATTCTACCTATTCATATTACCTAGGTAATGATTATAGTAGGTATATATCCATGACAAGAATAGAATTGTAATGGTATAGAAAAATATCATTCTTGAACTAATATATCACATAAAAAGTATTAATTATAAAGTTCATCCATCAAAGAAACTAATTCATTCCAACCTTATCATAGGAATTATGTCAAGATGAATGAATAGGTCTATTTTTAGGTGATGATACTCTTACAGAGACATTAATATGACAAATATTTGAAGAATATAAAACCAATAATCTTTCTTTAGAATTCTCGATTCCTACAATAGTTAAAATTTATAAGTATGAAAGGAGGCTTATTAGCTTATATGAAACTATATTTGAAAGGAGATATAGCATAAATTAAAAAGATAGGATTGATGAATCTATAAGGAGGTACATTACATGAGGCCTTAAATGGGTCCATATAATTATAATATTCAAAGGACCAAAAAAAGACTATATACCTTTATTATGGTAGAATGAATTGACTTGTGTGGAATCTTGGATGCTTTGAGGGGCCCGAGGAGGTTCCACTCATGTAATATTTTGTATAGTTGGATTGTTTCCTGTTAAAAAAAATATCAAATAGTCTCCAATATACTAACTTAGAAATAGAGAGGTATTCTTCTAGATGATTTCAAATTAAAATAGTCTAATGTATGAAATATCTAGAAGATGTAAAAGAAAGCAAGACTCATATAGATGATATGGCATAGAATCATTGCAATAAATACAAGGAGGTGCAGAATATGTTGAGACATTTGTCAATGATGTCTAGTATATCTTTGATACATGCAAAACTATGTTACATAAGTTCTAGGAGTGCAACTCAACAAGAAATGCATCACAATAGAGTACAAATTATTCAGCTCCTCATTCCAAAGACAACAACGAGTTTATAGCAAAGGTTGATACATAATATTAATAGAATAGAGGTGATTTGTAATGATAACAATTCCAAGCAATAAAAAGATATAATGGCAAGTACTAAATATAAGTCAAGACTCATTCAATTTTTTCCATTGTAAAAACATCATACATTTGCATATCATATTTCATGAAGATTCAAAAAGGTTAGCAAACTATGGCTTTTATTGTAAGGAATTACTATGTAGGTGCTTTAGATTGACAAGAACGATGCAACATTTAACGAGATACCTTGGCAATTCAAGCAAGATTACTATAAGATTTGATTGCAATTAATCAAGTATGGTAGACACACTTGGATTGAAATACAAGCAAATGCAATATACAAGCCCTTACAAACTACAGAACTCATTAAATAGCTCCATCAAAAATGGTATGCAAACAACATATTGGTAACGTGACAAAACAATAGGTCAAAATAGAAGTTGTCATACTTAAACAATAGGTTGAGTCTTAGTAATTAGTAGGTCACTCAACCCTGACAGGACCTGGTTGGGGCTATTTATCTTATTTTACCTGCAACACAGATAAACTCTATTTGTGTCAGAAAATATAAAATAGATATAAAACAAAATAAAAATGTAAGCATGCACATAAGTATTGCACCCTCAATGCTTAGCTAATGCATAGAGGAAGTCCGGAATTTTGCAACTTGAGTAACAGCGAGAATGATTGATATTGTGACGAGGCCTAAAAACGCACAGTGCACTAAATGGTGATGTAGAAGTAGCTTTACCTGCAAGTTAACCTCACAAGTTCCCCTTCTATTTAATGATCATTTCGTCACTATACGTCGAAAAATTAGCGGTTTATGACAAGTTTGACACAGTGTATTAAAGAGACGACTCGATTAGCTCCATCATGATGCATAGTCTAACCGAGAGGCAAAGAAGTCGTTCTAAGGAAACAGCGGCAACATCTATCACACGAATGCCATGTCTTGAAGGAAAAAATGGAGTCACCAAGAATGTGATTGATTAGATGTACAAGGTGACAGGATTGGACGTGACAAGAGTGTCACAAGAAGTGATTGGTGCGTAATGAAGTTTAACAACTGAAAATGTACTCTCTACAGTGCTAAAATTAACATTTGGCCTGCTCAGGTTGAACCCCACAAATGAGTTGTTTACAGTCTTCGCGAATTTGTCCGCATATTTTCTTTCTGATCCCCGGCCATACTATTCCGTCCATGGCCATTGGTTGTGTCCTTTCGCCTACCGTTGGAAGTAGAAGCGTCGACTTCACTATTTTGCAAGCTCGAATCAGACCGTATTTTCAAAGGGCCATGACCAGACCTCGGAAGAGAAGGATGTACCCTGGGAGGAACAAGAGGCTCTCCAGGTCTTTCACCTGCGCTAGTTGTGACGTGGTATCCCGCACTGTTATTCGAGGGAGCTTGCGTTTCCGGAACAGCAGGTCGGTCTCCTACTGAACGAAGTGTGTACCCACCGTCTGCGGATCCGAGACTGTTGCCATCTGCGGCGGTATATCCGATTGCTGGAGCAGGGACTGTTGCAGTCGGGGTGGAAGAAGGAGTAGCAGCTGGCTGCTCGGGAGCCAATGAAGGAACCGACACTAGCTGGACCAAACCACGCGGGACTTTACGTTTAGTTTTCAAGGGGGGACGATCCCCGTGCGGCTTGGTTAAAATCTGCAAGGACACGTATTGCAATTAGGAACCGAACGAATTCCTAAGCATGAAAAAGTCAAGTACACTTCGAAAGGATAGAAATCATCATAGACGTGAAAAACATCATAAGGATCAGCTGGTGCGTGGAGAAAATACACACGTGAGACCGTAACAAACCTTGTTATTTCCAATATCTGAGAGCGGTCGTCGAGGTCTTTTACTACCAACCTCATCTTTCCTTGTTTCGTCACGTGTACCATGGAAAACCACTTCTCCAGGATGTAGATGCTCGTCAGGGCTTTGAGGGCTGCCCTGCTGACTACTTTTCCATGCAAAGTCCAACAAGGTCACTACCTTCTTCAACAAGGCACTATCGGTCTCGGGAGATGGACCACCTGACAACTCTACGCCGGTTTTAGAATCCCCAAAATCAAACCCTAGTTTGTGCGATGTCTCATCCACTCGGAGACCCGCCATAGCCACTGCCATGTCTCTATGCGCTGGTACAAGTGAGTTTGTGGTCACCAATGATGATTCGACAGTATCAATCTCACCGCGATTTGCACATCGGCCGACCTTGCATCCACACGCAGGTCCGCAGAAACCACCGACAGCTTTACAGGCACATTTCTTAGTCTTACAGCCTGACCATGGAGAACACGAGCAGCAATGACCTGACTTAAGTTCCTCTTTTACCTCAGCAGGGGTGGTCGCACCACTAGACGGAGTAATGCGACCGCTCTCTGCTGATCCTGGCTCACTCGGAGGCTCGGAATGTGGCAGGTCAGTGCTCGACTTCTGGCCAACAGAAGCCTGTTTCCTTCCTCCAGAAAGAACCCGAGTTCCAGACTGAGTCTTACGTGCAACACGTCTTTTATAAGATTTTTCATCCTCATCAAAATCTGAATCCAGATCGGAGACATCAGCTCTCATGTCGAACTCGGACTCCGAGTCAGATAGATCCATATCAGACTCCGGAAGTGAAGTCCGGACTATGGAGGAAACGCGGGACACCTTCAGTCAACAAACATTTGATCAGTGATGGCACTGAAGCGATTAGCTATATCCAGATATTATCCCGGAGTAGGTCGAAATGAAGAGATCTTCGGCACTGAAACTTTGTTAAACCTTAGCCGATATCTAGAATAGTTCGTCCTTTACGTCAAGTTTAAGATTAAAAAATATCTCGATTTCATTGAGGAATAAGTCAATACCTGTTAACATGAAACAGCGCTTGAACCACCAAAATGAAAACAAATAGGTCTTTCAGAATTTTCTAGTTATACCGGGTGTGAGTACGAGAATACTACCGGAAATGCTACAGGATCATTTAAGACCAACATCAGCCTTACCTTTCGAAGGTCATACGGTCCACCAGATTTCCGTGGACGATCGCCCTCAGTTTGAGTATTGCGAACATCCAACTCATACTGGATACACACCGTTACCATAATAATTAGAACAAGGAGCTGATAGGATCAGACAAGACTCGTATGAATATCAGTCGATTATTGCCATCTGGAGAGCGGCTCACCTTACTGGCTGCTACCAAAGCAACGGACAGAGCTTGATTTGTTAGTAGATTCTGTCTTTCCAATTCCTGACGTTGTGCTTCTGTCTGTTTCAATAGACCTTCCACTTCGGCCAGCTTCTCCTTCATCTCTTTGTTCTCGTCCTCTAGATCTTTGAAGCGACATCTGAAAGATATTGCAACACCACTTCAGCTCCGATTTATAACCAGCACAGTAGAGGAGAGCAAGAGTGTTGACTGTCAATATATTATTCAATTCAATCACTGAAGACAGAGAAGGACGACACAGGAAGTCCTTAAAGAACCAAAAAGGAAACCTGGTAGTTTGCTATATCTTGAAGAGCAACTGAGATATAAACGAACCTGGAATAGGATGCGACACCAAACATGAGGTGCAAGAGGGTCTTTGCATCTCCCATAGAGCGCAAGTGCTGCCAACGAGCCCGACCACTGCAAGCTCTTTCACGTTCTTCAGCTTCCGACAGTTGAGATGCCATTGCCACCATATCTCCAGAAGAGGAGCTCAAAAGACTCTCCAGGTACGCGATACGGGCGTGCCTGAGTTGCATACAATTAACTCAGAAAAGAAGCTATTGTTGAGTAGGTTTAAACAAGATGTAAATCATACGCACATACCATGTCAACAGAGAAAATCGACTAGGCGAACGATAATAGAAAGAATGTGGCAGGTCACAGTAGTGCGGAGTGTCGCTTGGATCGCATGATGATATTGACCAATGACGGGTACAACGGACCCTACAATATTCTAAACGCACCTGGCATTGGACTCCTCATCAGGATCATTTGCGATTGCAAGTTTCTCATCATCCTGTTGCCTTAGCTCCATCAGTTCTTTGGCAGTAGCCGCACGTCTATGTTAAAAGATGCGACGATCAGTAGGAGTACAAAGATCCGCATCTACTTCCTAAACCACAACCGATTAAAAGAACGACCTAAAATAAACCGAAGTACGTGAATAAAAAGACAGAAGTACTTACTCCTCTCTCTGTTTCTCGACAGCTGAACGAACTTCGTGAACTCGAAGAGCCATTTCGAGTTCTTGTTCAAGCCAATGTTGGAGGGACTTCTCATTGTTCTGCGATTGACGTCCACGAACGTTATCAGAATAGTGCAATCAGAACAATATCAGTTAAGAAACTACTCAGAAAGAAGCTGACATACTTCAAAAGATATCCCAAGATTGAGAAGTGGCACCTGAGAGGAAGGACCAGTGAGAAGTAGAGTTCCTGCGAAACCAAACAGTGTTAGAGAAGTCTCGGTGAACTCCAAAACATATTGAAAGTAACATTGTACTCGTGCCTGTCAAGAACCATGAAGCCGATTTACCGTTAGGAGCAGTATCTTTAGACGACTTCCTGGCTTCTTGGAGTTCTTTCAGACGACGCATAGCCGTTGCGGCCTCTTCTGTCTTCCGTTGCAATACCTGCACAGGGGAACATCAATGATCAGGCCGTGCGGGTCAGGTTGCTAACAGCGAAAGCCATCAAAAGTGTGTCGAAGGCAAATTCCAGTTCTAGGACACTCACCATTTTCTGCCGTAAATGTAGAGCTTGTATCTTGTGTAACTCGTAAATATTACGACGCCCTTCTTTCTTTAACTGAATCCATGCAAAGAAGAGTTATCAATGTCAATTATACCGTGGAGTACACAAAATGATACGGGCTAAATCAAGCAGCTACTCCCAATTAAATTTCGAAGATGGCGAGGGGAAAATTCAACCTGAAGAACCTCTTTCTCTCTGGATGCTTTCCACAACCGAAACTGTTCAGATTCTTGCTTCATCTTTTGCTGTATTTGAACCTGAAGGTTAACATTACAAATGCTCAGCTACAAGATAAACGTGCAGGGCGATCACTGATAAATTTCACTGATGAATTTCACTGATAAATGGCTTGAAAGGCGGCAATGACTCAGCATCTTTGAAACCATTTCCCAGGTCATGTCAAGAATTACATAAAAGGACCACTGACGCGGGGATCACGAACCTTCTGGGTCTTCATACGAACAATCTCCTCTTGCAGGCGCTTGGCTGCCTCATCACTTCGCTGCTTCTGACGAAGAAGTTGCGCTTGATTCTCCTGCTTCTTTTTCAGATCCGCAATCTGTCTCGACGGATATTAACAAAACTAGTTAAAACCAAAGCGAGATATATCAGAAAGAAGACCGCACACAAAAATCTTTCATTATAACGTCGAAGCTCAACGGATAATTGCAAACCTGAATTTCCAGATCAGTTAGAGTCTGCTTGTATGCAAGTTGCTGTTTCTGGGCGTTATCGTCGGAGACATGAGAAAGGTTTTCGAGCTCCATCATTAACTTGTCTCTTTCCATCTGCACGATTCGGTGTCACAGAGTTAAATGATACAATGATAATAATAACCCAATACCCGAAAACTTCGAAGACGAAATTAACAGAACTGACTTTTACTAGTATTATTGATGAGTACGAAGGGAATTAAATCTACCTGCAAGCGCTTTTTCTCCTCCTCCATTTCGATCAGCTTTTTCTCAAAATGCTGCTTTAAGACTAAGGTATCAGCTCGGACAAAGGATTTCATCTCCGCCTGTGTCAAGTAAGCTCGAGTTAGCTAATTACTATCAGTGAGAGGTCGCACCAAATCAGTGCCTTAATATTAGATGAAGAGGGGCACAATCGCGTCAGCTGATAACCATAGCATTTCAAGGTTCACCAGTACCTCCTTTTGCTCCAAGCATTTATTCAACTCTTGCAATTCTTTGTCGAGGCCAGCTTGAACTGATGAATACTCTAACTCCTTAGCAACAACGTCGGCCTCTGGCTCCGCACGACTTTCACCTGTACGTAATCATCCTTACATTGTGAATATGAGTTGTTCGTGCAACACTCCAAGTCTGTGATTTTCGGGTGAAAGAAATGCAGACTCCCAATTCGCAAAGTTACTACAGCATTGCGTTAAAGACTACACAAAACAGGGTATTTGGAGAGCAAGCCCTCACCAGGGGACACAACATCTCCAATAACTGGAACTCCAGTGATGCCTTCAGGTGTTACGCTTTTGACAACATTGGCGACGTTAGGGTAAATCGGTCGATTGGTTAAAACGGATCGTGACTTGGATTGCTGAAGTTGTTGAACCTCAGCCTCGAGGTCCTCGATTCTTTTCACGTAGTCCTTCAGCAAATCCTCGGTCTGAGTCCATACACAGGCAGCATTGTTGTTATGGGGGGGGGTCTCTTACCAGAAGACGGCTTCGTCAACGAACTGTAACTGCAAAGAATTATACCTGGGTAATTTTCTCCCCGTCAAGCTCCTCAAAAGTCTTCCCAGACCGCAGCATATCGAGCTTAACTAGCAGCTTGTTCCGCTGAAGCTACAGACATACAAATCCAACCTTAAGTACGTACGCACAGCGTGAATGTCTGGTGAAAAGAAGTGAAGCGTAATTACCACCCAGGATGGTTAGACGTCAAAAACTTACTTCTGATTCCGAAGCAGATCGAGAGAGGGAGGCAATTTTTCCTTGGGATTCATCCAGCTCTCGACGAAGCTCAGTATTGCTAGCTTCAAGCCATGCGATTCTCTGCTTGAACATCTGATAACAACATGTAATTCAGAAACGAAACTAGGGAAGCTGATGATTTAGGACGGTCCGGATGGAAAACGCCATGGGAACTAAGATCATCAAGTCAGGCTGGCGGTTCTGACATTATTAGAATACGATATACGCTTTTCGTCTTGTGATTCGTCTAAAGCATGTGAAAATCGACATTCAGTAGGGCAAAGTGAACATCTCCCGATAGAATTCAATGAGAATAGGCAGCAGGTTACGAATTCTAGAACTACAGGGAGATATACAGTTTGGATAAGCGCTCAAGTGCACCTGCATGTCGCTATTTGATGGTCCTCCAGCTCTAGCACAGATAAGCTCAACTTGGGCCAGCTCAAGCTGTTGCCTTAGTCGCTGCATTTCAGCAGTCAGGGGATCTCGATTGACCTGATCAACAGGTTGGTCAATAGTTGTAATTAGAACGTCCTCATAGAGGAGTAGGAAAATAAATTCAAATACACTTATGTACCGGATCTGAGTTACAAGAAAAGCCACATTGCTTCAGAGTATGGTCCTCACCGTAGGCTTATTCTGGATGTTCCGGGCTCGATTAGCATACTTTAAAGTGTTTAAAGTCTCCTCCGCGTTTGAGTCTGCTGGGCTTACACAAGCTGCAGATCACCGAAAAATACTACGTTACACACAAATCACTTCGGAAAAACTGCAAAGTCCACGAAACTAAAGCTGGTGCAGTGATTACCTATCATCACAGTGCTGCTATTCCCTCCAAGGGAGTCCTGTTGGTACAGTGTCAAGTCCAAAGTTAAAACCGGTGGACTTCAGTTAGGAATTCCATTCACACAAAAAGCGGTTTATTAACAAGTTTGATATTTCTTTGACTTGCCTGCAATAACCTTGTGAGTTTACTATCTCTGTAGGGAACATGGCCTCCTTCTTTACGCTTTCTGTCATCCCCCAAAGCACTAATTACGTTTCCGAGTGCTAGAAGTCCTTTGTTGATGTGTACACCTGCAGCAGCCACCGAAAATTTAGCCGTATTCTTCCACTGTCTCGATCACCTACATGAGAAAAGCTGCTTAACTAAGAAGACAGAATGTCGAAGTCATCGAAACTTGACAGATTTCTCTGTTGACTCTGCTGTGATCAAACATAATTAATCTGACAGTTACCAAACAGTTCCGTAAGTACTTTTATCCAGGAGGCGAGCATCCAAAACACAAAACTTAGAGGGAAATGCGAGGTCAGGATGGGCATCATGCAAGTCAGGTTACCTTCTTTGAATCGTAATCCATCTGCTCCGGTTCTTTTAGCTCTTTCAGATCCCGCTAGATCCACCAAATGCAGCTTTGCAGACAAGTAGTCCTCATTGCAATCCTCTAAAAGTGGATTACCTCCGTCGGGAAGCATCTCCCACTTGCGACGTTGCTCAAGCATTATGGTGAAAATAGCGTGTGATCGACTGTGCAGAGAACGGTATCAACCACAGTTTGGAATCCATGTGAGACTTCTGAGCAATTCCTAGTCGCGATGTGCATAGGGATAAGGCAATGTAGACTGAGTCATCTTCACGTTGTTGTACCACCTTCTTAACTTTTACATGATCGAATAGGAAGATTGTAAAGAAAGAAACAGCACACGACTTAAATTCCAAAGTGTATTCTCATATTGCACTCGATTTGATGTTAGTAGCGAAGGGTGATGGCAGCAAGTCAGACCTGGATTGAGAATTCATGTTCGTACTTCCAGTAGCTCGGCACAAGGATCCCTGCTCTAGGCATGCCGCCATTTCCTCTAGGCTCTTCACATCGGGTTCAGTTACCCCTGCGAGTGTGATGCCTCCATTCGAGGTCTCCCGAATTTGAATGGGAGGTTTGCCCATTGTGGTAGGCTTTGACCCTCCCCCAAAATTAGCCTCTGTGGAGGGTGGATTGGGATCCAGCAAGTCGTGCACTTCCTCCTTCAAAATCTGAAGAATTTACGGCAAGGATTATCGCACCAGTCGATGATGTGGCCAAAACGAATAGTCTGAGGTTACAGAAGCCTCCAATCCCATGTAATTCCTCTCGAAGTTTGATCGGTTGGTCATTGACCGACTGAATTGACGATGATCTTCAAATGAAATAACGAAAGATGAGGCTGAATGAAAAATTACATTACATCGACTTGGAGCGACTCACCTCAATAAATGACACCCTAATTTGAAAGTCAACTTTTTTCTTCAGAGTTTCGACGTGTTGAAAGATGTCCTGCATAACATGGGGAATGACTCCGTCGATGCAGCCTCCCACCGTGTATGCAGTGCCCATTGTGTAGGTTTTCCCCGAACCGGTCTGCAGGTATGGTCATCAAGAGTTAAACAAAAAGGGCTACGAAATGTATTAGAATCAGCTCCAAAATATGTTGTACATAGTGACTGATGCTTCGTTAGGAAAACCAGGAAAACATTATAGATGTTAGTTTAACAGAATCAACATAACATTGACGTACTGGAAAGTTATGTAAGGTCAAGATAACATAATGAAATGGGCCGTCTGACACTTGTGCCCAAATTTTACCTGACCATATGCCAACACAGTTGCATTGTAGCCATGAAACAGGCCATCTACAAGCGACTTCACACATTTATCGTAGAGTCCAGAAAGAGGTGAGCCAGAGCTGCCGAAGACATGGTCGAATGTAAAAGAATGAGTGCCGATTTGAACCTGCAATGAAGACATTCGTTGCTTCTCAATGAGACAACCATAACTTGAGGGTCGTCAAGAACTGGCGCGACGCGAGATGAATGCAACATAACAGAAGTGCTTGGACATCGTCTATAGGGTAGAGATTAACTAGGGGTGCCTTGAGGGATTCAGCGCAAATAATGCAGAAAGTTGATCTCCAGGACAAGACATGCTCACAACCCAAATTTGGCCAGAAACTTCGAGTCCGGGGATGTTCAAAACGGAGCAATGACGTTACCTGAGGTTCACCAGGTACTACTGTGATACAATCTTTGCAGCCCTGGGCACGCTCCAGTGCAATGAGAGGCCGGATGTTCAAGGCGACTTGGACGGCCTGCAGTGAATCTTTCTCTGCCAACAAACTACCATCATCTCCAGACGGTGGTCCTTCAGAAACGTTTGCTTTGTCTGCTCCCATCGTCGCTACTAATGTACACCCAGCTCAGGCCTTTCGAGTTGTCCAGCTAGGCTCACAAGACTCTCAGAATTTTATACCCTACGAAGCGAGGGGCATTGAAAGTTACGGGTGAATGCATAGCGATCCGAGGAGTGCTATGAACAAGTCCTGTGTCTCTGAGGAAGCTACTCGGATGGAATTAGTAAAGCTAATTTTTAAAAGGACACTCGACACAGAAGTAGAATGTGGTCTAAGCTAAAATGCAATGTCCTTCCACACTGCTCCCTACTCTTCCATGGTGCACTGCAAGCTACTGCCCTTCCATCGGATTCCAGTAACCTTCCCTCGCACATAGGTCCAGCAGCCGTCTACATGGATATCAGTGGCTCTCTTTCCCAATGTCGAAGAAAGGTCAAGTGGCAGGTCCCATCCATCTCAGCAGTGCCTACTGCTAGGGTACACGGGCGATTTGAAGCCCTTTGAGCACAAACGACGTAATTTAGCGAACTTCCAAGAGAAGTGTACGCAGGAGCAGTTGTCGCCAGAGTAAGGATTCGGCAGCAGGAGCCGCCTTCGGTGAACTACCTCCTAATATTTGGTTCCTTCAAAGCAAAGCGCATTACGCTAGAACATCACACCAGTCCTCTCGTCTACCGAGAAACAAGGCAATGCAGGACAACGTCATCCGCCGGACACACGTCAGGGTACAAGTAAACAAAACTCAACACAGAATGCTCCTGATGCCTCAGCACTCGAAGGACCTTCGTAATCCTGCAACCCAATCTACTAAAACAGCAACGGACTATCACTACAGCCGTGTATCTTTGCTCCTTGGCAAATACTGGCCTCCTTGTCAGACAACTTCCCCTTCACCGCTTCTTATCCAATAATTTCACAAAAACAACCCGGGACACCGAGGGTGTGGCACAAAAATTGTGACCGAAACCGCAACTGTGCAGAGAGACACAGTCAGAATCCCAACGTCTAACATAAACCTGTTCAAATTCGCGTTTACCGTTGCTGCAGACTACGTGGCCGCAGAGGGGTCGGATCACAATGGGAATTCAAACAACTACGCGGCAAGCGAGCTCTGCGCGCACTAAATGAGTCACAGGATTAACGCCTTGGACAGGTGGTGGATGAATGATAACAGAGGTCATCCATCCTCCCAGTTTGAATTGTCTAACGGTCGAGTTTCGCGAAGCCACAACGAGAAGTCCCCTTCGATGCTTTGGAGTGAATTTTAAATGGAGCGCATTCGGCACTTTCTGGGGCACGTGGCAAATGTGGTATTCGTAAATGTTTTGTTCAAGAAAGACGGGATTATTTAAAACATGGTGGTTTTTAGATAAGAATAATTCTGCCTCTCAGTCAGCTTTGAACATTTCAGGGAGAGCTCACTAGGTTTTTTTGAAAATGAGAGCTGAGGGGCTGGATGAAATACAATGTGGATGAATGAAGATGGATGAATTCTGAATTAGATCATTTTCGGTGTGTCTTACGTTGATGGATTTACATTGGTTGTGATAGAAAAGCGAAGTGCACAAATCTAAGAATTAGTACCCAGCATATTTCTCATTAGTAAAATTCAAATAGAATCATTTAAAAACAAACTATGACACAAGACTTTTGATAATATAAATAAAAAAATATATAAATTTATTTGTTTCATTCTGTTTTTAACTTTACTATTGTAATCAAATTAGGTTACGATGTTTAAAATGCTTGTAAAAAACAACTTTATTGGTTAATTTATTGGAAACATGTTTTTAAACTTGCAAAATTTTCTATAAGTGAAATAAAATAAAATTTGAAAGTATATAAAAATATTACATCAATAATTTTTTAAAATTAGTACTAAATTAATATTATTTGAGACATAAATAAATACCTTAAGGTTTAAAAATATGAAATTATACTTTGAGATTAAAAAAAAATTAGGAATCTTAAGATTAAACAAAGTTAATTTAACATACATATCATATATTAAATATTCATTTATATCTTCATATATTAATTCACAAAAGAATTATTCTTTGAAGCAATTATGCTCAAATAAAATATTATAATGTAATACTTTCATTTTTTTCATATATTTTAAGATTATTGATAAAAATTGATAAAAAATTATTTATAAGTATTTATCAAATTAATTTTTTTACATACTAATTATATTAAATGACTACATTTAATATACAAATCATATATATATATATATATATATATATATATATATATATAAATTATAGCAAAGTAATTTATTAGAAAATATTAATAAAGTATTTATTTAAATAGTTTATATAACAAATAGTTTTATTTATTAATATTTTTTTTAGATAAATAAAAATAAATAAAATTAGGTTAAATTTTTGATATCTTATCTACTTTTTTTTAATTAAAAAATTAATTTGATATTAGAGATTGCAAATTGCCTTCTAATTCGACTTGTAGATTTGTTAAAGTTTTTTACATAGCGATAGAAGAAAAAAAAATCGTAGATGCTATATTTGATTGAAATATAAATAGATTTCTAACTATTATAGATCTCCACAAATTTGTTAATATTTTTAGAGCAAAAATTTCAAGTATAACTAATAATAATTATAAATACTATTTTTATACTCATGGAAGAAGTTAAAAATAAGATCTAATATCCAAGAAGTTATGCAATTTAGAGAATCAATTAGATTAACTTCAGAAGTGAATCTAAAAAGTCTTCTTAATATAGGTACAAAAGTAGCAAAGTTTAGTCTACCAGAGAAGTTTGATGAAATAATATAAAAATTATAAAGATTTCTATAATAAATCAATCTCTATTAAAAATTACATTATTCTTAATATCTTAGTGGAATTCCTCAAGTTGGATTTATAGATGCATTTTTATCTAAAAGTGCTATATTTTGATTTATACCTTTTATGAAAAAGAATTCACAATCTATATATAATCTAAATTTATTCTTAGAGGTATTTATATCACACTTAGAGAAAGTAATCAAAAAAATGTAGTAGAACAAAATTTCAATCTTTATAAGAAAGGTCACAATCAACTATTATTTATGTTGCTAAATTTCAAAACTTTGTTTGCAATATGGATTGGAATGAAAAAGCCTTTATCAATTAATTTTAATATGGAATAAAAGTTAATGTCATTGATTTTTTTATTTATAATAAAAGAATAGACTTGTAAGAGCAATTTATTTTAGAAGTCATTGCATTGGACAACCGATTCTTTAAAAGACACTATGGATAAAGATTTGATTTGAAATAAATAAATAAATTTATAACAACAATTTCTATATTTTTAAATACTTATTCATTGAAGTCAAAAACTATGAAAATTAATATAATTCAACTTTAGTGATTAATACAAAAATAAAAAGACAAATATCTTTGTAAAAACTTATTCTTTATATTGTAGATAAACAAGACATAAAGTATAAGACTATTTAGATCAAATCAATAAGATTAAAAATAAAGAATGTGAATTTCATCATGAAAAGATTAAAATTAAAGATTTCTAGTTGCAATAAGAAACTTGCAACTCTAAATCATCAAATTTAACTCTCATACTACCACAAAATCTTACATTATGTCATAAATTTTTTGTAGTTATTATATATATATATATATATATAGATTTATTTAGATAATAAAAATAAATAGAAGTAAGTAAAAATAGATTAATTTGATAATATCTTATAAAGAAGCTTTTTAAAAGAAGCTTTTTAGAAGCTTCATAGATGAAGTTTTATCTTTATATATGGCTATAGGTAATTGATAGAATGAATTCTTAGCCAACAAATTAGCCAAGTGTTATATATATTGATAGCTTGTAATACTTATAAAAAAAAAAATCTTGTAAGATAAGATATATATTTTATGAATTGAACATGTGTTGGAGGTTACATAGAATGTTGCCACATATCTTTTAATTAGATAGTATATATAGAGGTAAGAACAAAGCCTTCTTTACTCTTGTCATTTTTTTTTTTTTTTTTTTTTTTTTTTTTTTTTTCTAGTCTAATTTCTAAAATCTATAGATTTTTTAGTCTTTCGCAATAGTTTTCTTGTTTCTTCTTAAATATACATACATTTTATTTTTATTTTTTTATATCTTTTTTATTCTTATTTTAGTTATTTACATATCTTCTTTGAATTCTTGTCTTTAAAAAATTAACAAGAATATTCTTATAATATCAAAGCTTTGTCTTTTCTTGATTAAGAGTATTCCTTTTCTTTGATAAGATATAAGTGTATTAGAAGTTGTAGATTATCCTCTTTTAAACTAATATTATTTGTATCATTTTTTTTTATTCTCAAGTCTTCTCTTTTATTTGTTTTGAATGAATTAGATTTTTTTTTCTTTCTAGTCTTATTATAGTAGAGCTTATTGAAATAGAAATTACAATGGCACAAATGCAAGCGCAATTGATGGAGTTAATGCTTACAATGCATCAATCAATAAACTACCACAAGAAATAAGAAGATTAGTAGGAAGTAAAGATATAGAGATTATTAGAGTTGCTTCAACATGTGTACCAATTTATATTATTTCTTTAGTGGTAGAATACCATTCTATTATTAAAAAATTAAGAGTTGCCTTGCTTGAGAATTTTGATGATACAAGTTCAAATTTTTGAGGATTCATCAATCAAGTACAATAGTGGATTAAACTTCAATCTCAAAACTATCAAACTTTAGGATATTAAGTCAGATTTATTAAAATATTACTTTCAAGTTCTACATTATTATGGTTTTCATCTTTTTTTGAACGATAAGATCCAACATTGGATAATTTGGAGATTTTTTTGGTACATTTTTAATTTATGTATGGAATACATGATATAATTTATATTGCAACTAATAAAATCTATATTTTGTGACAAGATAATTAATTAGTAATGCTACATGCTTCATAGTTTCAATAACTTATGATTGATATTAAGTAAAATGAAGTTGCAATCATTAGCCAATTTTTCTACAAATTATAATATGAAGTAAAGAAATTGATACTCAACTTACTAAATCCCAGGACATTGAGTCAAACAATTGATTTTGTTGTAAAGTGAGATAATCAATTTTTTGAATTACAATGTGAGAGTAGCACAAATAGACTTAAATATTATTGGAATAAGAATATTTGTTTTAAGAAAATATAAGGTTTATGGCTATAACTAGATATAGTCAAATAATACCTTTTATTCAAATAAACTCCACTATCTCATATTTTTAATTATATGAGGGAATTTTCATCTCTTCTTCATTCAATTAGGTACTATAATTCTATATTTTATTAAATTTGAATATGTGATGATCCTTTAAAGAACTACTTAGTCCATATATATATATATATATATATATATATATATATATATATATATATATCAAATTTTACTTCTTAAATTTCTTAATAACATATTTTATGTTCAAATAATATTAATGATCATATTAATATGAATCAATTGACTCTTCTCTATCCAAAAACTCACTCCATCTTCATAATAATTCTTTTCAAAGCTACTTAAAGTTTTTTGAAAAGTTAAAAAAAGAAAAATTATTTTTTAGAATTTCCAAATAAAATACTAAAAATAATATGAAAAAACCGCCAAAAAAAACCCTGAAAAAGACTTTGAAGAGTAGTTATCTATCTTCTTGTTCATAAATACACTTTTTTGTCATATTATTGGAGGCCTTGCTTGAAAATGCACCAAATACATGGCTGTAGAAGATAAAAGGAATTTTGCAACAATAAGATTTTAATTCTAATAGAATCTTGAATAATTCCAATTAAATCTTAATAATGTCAATCAAGCTTTAATTAATCCAAAGAAACCTAAAAGAAATTACAAGAAAAATATGAAGAAATTCTAAAGAAATTCAAAGAAAGCATTAAGATAAATTCTAAAATATATTATAAATAAATTCCAAACAAATATTATTTTAACTTTAGTTAAAATTCTATTAGTCCTTACTTAAATCCTAAGTCAAATCCTAAGTAAATCCTAAACAAACTTTAAATCCTAATAAATTCCTAAATCTTAAATCAAATCATAATCAAATTAAATTAA